GAATGGAATTTTTTTTTAAGATTTTATTTTTTATTTGACAGAGAGGGACAGTGAGTGAGGGAACACAAGCAGGGGGAGTGGGAGAGGGAGAAGCAGGCTTCCCGAGGAGCAGGGTGTGGGATGCAGGGCTGGATCCCAGGATTCTGGGATCATGACCTGAGCCAAAGGCTGATGCCCCAACACCCTGTTTTAATTTCATCTGGTTTAGTGCTCCCTATAAAGAGGTATTTGCTCTGGCCAGTCTCTGATTTGTTGTTAGCTTAGATTAAATTATTATTATTGTCCCATAAATTGAGGTTAATCAGATTGATTTCTTTCCACAGTGACAGTAGCGCTTGTTAAAATTTGGTACGGATGATGTCTTAGTTTGGGCTGCTGTTACACAATACTATAAACTGGGTGGTTTAAACAGCAAACAATTATTTCTCACAGTTGTGGACACTGGAAATGTGAGATCAGGGTGCCGGCATGGTTGCTTGGTGCAGGTTCTCTTCTGGTGCAGGAAGATGAGGCTGATTTCCCATTGAATCCTCACATAGCAGAGAGAGTGAGGGAGGTCTCTGGAGTCTCTTTTGTAAGGGTACCAGTCCCATTAATGAGGGCTCTATTCTCATGACCTAATTATCTTCCAAAGGCCTCCACCTTCTGATACCATCATGTAGGGGCTGGGATTTCAGTACATGAATTTGGGGAGCGGATGAGGGTGCACAAACATTCACTCCATAACAGATAAGTATAATGCTGAAGGCAGTGGAATGGAAATACTAGGCAGCCAGGGAGAATGCAATCTGGGAAGGCAGAAGAGGAAACATTCTCTGGATAGTTTTTGGTGGAGAAAGAAAAAGTGGGGGGTGGTGGTAGAGAAAGGAGGGTGAAAGAGATGGGTCAAGGAGGCAAACAACTATTTCATAATTTTATAAAGGGCTTAACCGCTCAGGAAGTCCCTCTCATGTAATGCCAGCCTGATCTTTGTTCTTTGAAAGTATAACTACTTACACATTTTCTTTATTGTCCCCAAAGTGCTTGAGCATAATCAATAAGATACTTGTTGATTGATTATCTGAGTGTTTCAAATCAATCCACACATCTGGTTTTATTAAGGATCTTAGAATTGACATTGATCAAGCTGACATAAGAACTGTCTTTAAATTTATAAGATATTTTGTGTTTCTCCTTAATGAAAAGCAAACACTTGTCCATGCCTATTTTGCACCATTTACTGTACTGGGGAGTTTCCTTATGTTATTGCATTTCTAATAATTCATCATTAAGAATTACCGAGTACCCATAATATGTCAAGCCTTATGCTAGATAATGACGATAAAAGTCAAAGAGGGAGAAACTCAGGCCTTCCAGCAGTTATAGTACAATAGGGAGAAGGCAGGGCTAAACCAACAATTGCCATGTAGTTTGATAAATGCAGAGAAGGAGGCAAGCAGTTGCCATTTTTGGAACACAGAAGAGGGGAGCTTTAACTCAAAATGGGTTGGAAATACAGATAATAAAAAGAAAACAGGTATTTGTTGTTTGTCTGAAATGAAAATTTAACCAGATGTCAAGAGGAGCCTGAGGAGACATGACTAAATGTAATGTGATATCCTGGATGGGATCCTGGATCAGAAAAAGGACATTAGAAAAAAAAAAAAACCTGAAGAAATATGAGTAAAATATGGATTTTACTTAATAAAAATGTATTACGATTGGTTAATTAATCATAACAAATGTACTGTATTAACATGAGATGTTAATAATAGGGGAAATGGAATATGTGAGAACTGTCTGTACTATCTGTGCAATAATTCTGAAAACTCAAGTGATCTCAAATAAAAAGCTTATTAAAAATTTTTAATTGATATCTTGTATTTTTGTTAGATCTGGCAACCCTAACACTTTTACTTCCAAATAATAATTAAATATAAAATATGAAAAAAATTACATTGATAGTTATGAGTTATATATGATTTCTCCTAAATATTTGATCCAAACACTTCATTTTCTATAAACAGTTATGATTTTCTTTTAAGGCAAGCCTGCAGCAATCAAATAGTTATCGCAGACAATATACTTCAACGTGGAGGTGCTTTGCTTCTAAATGCCATAAACTTACCACCAGTTGTAATTTCAGATGCTAAAAAAAATTGGTTTAAGTTTCTCTCTTTCACACACACACACATACCATCAACAAAATTAGTCTTAATTTAGGGTGCACACATCTCAAATGATTAAAAAAAAAACATCAGTTATGAGAACGTCAGCAAGATTAAGGCCCTGAAAGTAATCACTTGCTTAGGGTGACTGCTAATTTATGTTGCCTGAATGGAAAACAGTACTGATTATTTTACTCTCCATGTTGCTCCTTTGGAGGAAAACAACCTGTGTTTTGTGGAATAAGAACTTAGAGTCTGAAATAAAAATAGAACTGTATAATATAACAGTTTTATTTGAAGGTGAGCTTAGACAAGATCACTTATCAAACAAACGACCCAAGGAAGATGGGGCTTTTAAACAAGAGAATGGATTTGAGAATCCTTGTCATTTTCCAGATACATGACAGCCAAATGTACTTTGCACAACTTTGTCTAATTTCTGCTTTGCTCCCTAACAAAATTACGAAGTTAGATTTTTACTGCTTTATACGTAAGTGGTGATAATATGCTAGCCCTTGTAAAGAAAATAAACCTGTTATCATATGGCTCTAGAAATTATATACCAGAATTTATTGGGTTCCCTTGTTACCTTATTAATTTCTACTCTAAATAGAAAATCCCTAAAACTAACTGTATTTGTGCCCCCAAAAGATATATATGTCACAAATTTCACTTTGCAAACACGTGTAGATCATTTATTTTGCGCAAAAAAACTATGCTAAAGAGCTTTGGTATCGAGAGATAAAAATGGTTCCTATGCTGTTTCTATTTGTGCTCCTCAAAAAAAGTTTTGTACTTTTAGAGATGAGGGGAATCATACGTTAAGTTAGGCTTTTGTTTATTTATATCTCAGTGTCCCCGGTCTCCTGCAAAAACAAGGCGAAAGCTTGTTTAAAAAAAGATGTTCTTTCAAGGATTTGGGTCCCTTCTAAACCAGGACCGTGGATTCCTCAAAAGCTCTGTTCACAAAGAAGGGCTAAGTCTGTCAAAGGAGCCGAAAAGGGGTACGTTTTGCTTTTAAATCGGGCAGTTTTCCTCTAGGAGCTCGGCGAGGTCCTGGTCGGCGCCCCAGAAGGCTGGGCGGCTGGCGTCGGTCCGACTCCAAGGACCAGAGTCCGCGGAAAGAGCCCAGCTCGGAAGGGCGGGAGAAGGGAGATGGGCCCGAGCCCCAACGATTACACACCGCCTGCCAGGGTCTTACTGACCTCAGGCTGCCATCGACGCTGCCGCGACCCTAACCTAGCAAACGTCGCCCGCACGCCGCCTGGGCGCGCGGACACGCTGTTTGCTGTCGACCTTCCCGGCTCGGGCTGCCCAAGCAGGCCGCGGCAGCGCCCGTTCAGTGCTTGGAAAGCGCTGTTCCAGGAGAAAGGCCGCGAGGGCGGGGCTTGGGGCCGTTCGGGACTATTTCCTCATATCGTGGTCAGTTAGGGCGAGGAGGGCCGTCAGGGTGGAGTGCCACATGGCGCGTCCCCGCCAGGACTCAGCGTTGGCGGGCATCGAGGAAGCAGTGTGGTGCGAAGGGCTTAGAGCCCATACCGTGGAAGGATGGGTCAACCGACGAATGTTTCGCCACAGCCCACACGCCTAAGAGGGAATTTGAGGGGACATGGGGGAGGGGCGGACAGAACTGGCGTCTTGCAGAGAGCATGCTCTGTTCTAAGAGCCGTAAGTGGAGAGCCAGGCATGCGCAGTGAGGCCGGGGTGGGTTGGCAGCAGGGAGGGGCCGGCGTGAGCGGGCTGCTGTGTTTATCCGGTTTTCTGGGTGGGCGGTTAAGGCGCACGCGTGAGGGCGAAAGGCGGTGGAGCTTGATATTGGAATGCGCATGCGCGGAGCCAGCCGGTAGCTCAGGGAGGGTGTGGAGGGGGCTCTTAGAGGAGAAGCAGGGGAAAAGGGAAGCGAAGGGAAAGGATAGGGCGGGGGGAGGGGGTGAGAGTGTGCTCTGCGCATGCGTGCGGGCGCTAGCGACGACGGCGGCGGGGGAGTCTCGGGGATGACAGTGGCTTTGCCCGTTGGGGTAACGGTCGTCGTCGCCGGCAGGGCCTGAGGCGCCGCACAGTCCGCGGGATTCACTAAGGCCGCAGCAGCCCGGGCCCTACTGAGTTAGAGTGGCGCGTGGAGTCAGGGTGAGGGCGGCGAGGCACGGGGGGAGGGGCCTGCCGCGGGGCCTTGCTGGTGCTCTGGGCGGCGGCGGGGCCTGGCGGTGTGAGCGCTCGCCTTATCTGCGGCCGGGCGGGAGCCGTGGGCGGCGGCGGCCGTCGTGCTTGGAGGAGGAGGTCTCCGTGTGTGCGGCGTGGAGAAGATGGCCGGGCAGTGAGGGGGCGGTGCTTGTGCCTGGTGACCTCGGAGCGAGCGACTGAGGAGCGAGGGGCGCCGCCGCGGCCCGGCCGGGCCTGCTCCCCGCCCCCTCCCGCTGCCGCCGGCCCGCGCACTTCCTCCCCAGCCCTCCCCTGTCGGGTGGGGGACTCTCCTGCCCGCTTCGCCACCTCAGGGAACAGCAGGGTTGTAACCGCCAGGGCGGAGAGCCAGGTGCAGTCCGGGCCCCGCGTCCGATATGGAGAGAGCGGCGGCAGCCTCCGCCTGCCGCAGCTGCAGCATTCGCCGCCGCCGCGGCTTGGTGCACTAGATTGAGGAAGTCGACGCCCGAGCCGTCCTCCTTGCCGTCGCCGCTACCTCTGCGCCGGGCGCTGTGATGGAGTAAGGGCCCTGCAGCTCGTGAGAAGCGTGCGCGCCCCTCGGACCGGGCCGGGGCCTGCTCCCGCGCCCGCCCAGCTCGCCCTGAGGAGGTGCCTCCGCGTCCGGAGATGCAGCGAAGGCCGCCCGCGGAGCCGCGGGGCTAGACTGAGCGCCGAGTTCCGGCCCCAGCGCCGAAGCCCCCGCGTTCTTCGCCCCGAGGCTGCCTGGGACAAACTCGAACGCTGGTTTCTCTCTCTCTCTCTTTTTTTTTTTTTTTTTTGTCTGCAAGTCTCAGGGACGGAGGAGGGGCGCCAGGGCCCCATGTGTGGGAGGATTGCTTCAGCTCCACAAACTTGCACGGATTTTAGTTACTACTTTGGCCAGTGGTTCTTTGATTTCCTCCGATTTGTTGCAAATTCGCCATTGTTCCCTGGCTGCTTACAAAGTTGGATCCGGAATTTCTTTTCAACCGGGAGCCAACGGTGTCGAAGTGTCTGCAATGAACCCCGTGAATGCTACTGCTCTCTACATTTCCGCGAGCCGCCTAGTGCTCAACTACGACCCCGGAGACCCCAAGGCGTTTACAGAGATTAACAGGCTCTTGCCTTACTTTCGACAGTCTCTCTCTTGCTGTGTTTGCGGTGAGACGCTTTTTATTGTTCCCTTTCAATGCTTATTTTAAAAAATTCTGGGCACTGGTAACAGGAACGGTTTGGTGGCGTGGTAGTTTGTATTAAGCTTTTGTTATTTGTGCATTAGTATACGGTCATTAGTTTTGAGGCTTGTCAGAGGACTTTTGCCCAGCAGTTCAGAAAGAGCCCTCCTAAACCGTTTTGTACGGCGGCCTTAATGTTCAGAACTGCTTAATTCGTCTCGGGTCAGTTCCTTGCCATTTCTGTTGATGGTTTTATAAATGAGTGAAGTATGCTTGCGTAGTGCTTTTTTTTTTAAAAAAAAAAAAAACCTTTGATATAAGAGCTGACAACATTTACCTTGGTTAAACGTGGTTAAGCCTGGTTAAAAAATGTACATGTGGCGTGTTTGCATTTCCCCAAACTGGTGTTATGTGTGGGTAGTGGTATAATCGGATGCACCCACAGCCTGTGAACTCGATGCAGAACTTTTCTCCGTGTTCCTCAACATGCTTTGACAGTTTGACAGTAAATAGTGAGCCCAGGAAGACTGAAGGTACTCTGTTTTTTAGCTGGTGGGATTTTTACGAAATTGTTGTTCCTTATTTTGTGGTTTTAATGTGTTATGGCCTGGTAGACAATTATTTTAGGTGGTTGGCTTTTTTTCCCCCCCACCTAAAAATATTTTCTGCAGGGCAGGTTACTTTCAGGTTATTTTTTGAGTGGTACAGATATGCTGACTTATCTCATGGAAGTGTCTCAAAAGTGCTGATAATTTGGAATAACTTTGTACCTATTATTTTTTAACTTTACACCTTTTTTCAAAAAACCTGGCCTGGAAACATTAATAGGAGGGAAATGGCAATTGTCAAAAAAGTACTATCTTCCATTTCGTATTCTCATTCTACCCCAAATTTTGAGGTTTTGCTGATCCACTTGTTTAGTCAGAACTTGAGAAATTCAGGCATTTCAGGTTTTCACTTTATCTTAGGTAAAAGAAATTTTGTGCCTGTAGTGGCTGAAGGAGGATACCGTATTCCTTTGAGAATCTTGCATCATTTTCTGGATAGCATTGGGGCAAGCCACTGAACGGGGTGCAAAGGAGATGGAGATTGTGTTTTTTGCATACCAGGTACTTAATCTTATGAACATATAAGTAACTGTGTGAATGTGATTACTGTGACTGGTAACAGACAGTTAACACCTTTATAGGGAAGCGTTTGCCATGGGCAAATCACCACCGCCCTGGGCCTCAGTTTCTTAATGTGTAAAATGAGAGCTTTGGGCGAGATTCCAAGTTTTCCTTTAACTTAAATTTTACAGATAGGAATTTGCTTGGTTTCATTGTGCTCCCCCACCCCACTTCCACTTTTTATGGAGTGCTTCTTTTTATGTCTTAACAGCTTTTGGTAGTTTTTGAACTGAGGAGATAGAGCTGCTATAACTTCCTTTTCTACAAACCTTTCTTTTGGGGGGATTGCTACTCTTGTGATGTATGGGAAAGAGGGCAGAGGGCAGCCCATCCCAGCCTGCTAGAACAGCAGTAGAGAGTGATGTCATTATCCAGGTAACACTCAAAAGATCTGGTAAGTCTCCTTTTTACTAGGGGGATGGGACTTAACTGCCTAATTTAAGGGTAAAATGGTAGTTTTGAATTGTGTAGTTGCTTAGAATTTTAAGTTCTTGTCAATAGCTTCAGGATAGTTGTCTAATTGAACATTTTTCCAAATTCTCTCTTTTTTTTTAAGATGTTATTTATTGGGGTGCCTGGGTGGCTCAGTGGGTTGAAGCCTCTGCCTTGGGCTCAGGTCATGATCCCAGGGTCCTGGGATTGAGCCCTGCAGAGCCCCGCATCGGGCTCTCTGCTCAGCGGGGAGCCTGCTTCCTCCTCTCTCTCTGCCGACTTGTGATCTCTGTCTGTCAAATAAGTAAATAAAATCTTTAAAAAAAAAAAAAAAGATGTTATTTATTCATTTGACAGACAGAGATCACAAGTAGGCAGAGAAGCAGGCAGGGAGGAGGAAGCAGGCTCCCCGATGAGCAGAGAGCCCGATGCGGGGCTAGATCCCAGGACCCTGGGATCATGACCTGAGCCCAAGGCAGAGGCTTCAACCCACTGAGCCACCGAGGCGCCCCCAAATTCTTTTTTTTTTTTTTTTAAGTTTTATTTATTTATTAGAGATCACAAGTTGGCAGAGCAGCTGGCCGTTTGGGGTTTGCCCAAATGCCTTCTTGTTTCAAGCTATTACGCCTTCTTGTTCAAGCTACTCCACCATCCTATGGAAAAGATCTGTGGGTTCTACTTTTTCCCTGATTATAATTGAGTAGCTGGCATAAATTTTAGCAGTCTGAATGTAGGTTCTGGCCAGCCTCTCTGACCACTGCCCCCATGTCTTTGTACATAAGTCTGGTTATCAGGAGATAAGAAAAAAATCAGTTACTTGAATTTAGATCCAGCGCTCAAACATATTTGTATCAGATGTTGTCCTAGCTGAAAAGCATAAATACATTCAAGTTAATAGGGCATGTGCAGTCTTATTTCATGAAGATAATAAATATGTAAAAGTTTAATTCTATCTTGGTGCTGTAAATAGGGAGTTTGTTTCATCAGGTCTCTGAAATCTGACCCAGTCCTACCTTTTCAGCCTTACCTTTAACTGCTCTCATATATTTTTGTGCTTCAGCCAGGTTAATGTTCTTGCCTTTTCAAACATACATGCCCTGTGTCTTCCTTCTTTATTCAGTGAAGTCTCTTTTGCCTAAAAATACTTTTCTCTGTGGTTTAACTCATCAATTTCCTCCCTCCTCAGTGAATTCTTTGCTCACTGCAGCAGAAAGTTCCATTTTGTCCTTTGAACCTCTAACCCTTTGTTCCAGTCATAGGCACTTACAGCTCTTTAGGTGCAGCTTTCATATCTAATTCTTCTGATATCTTAGGGGAAAATACTATTTTTTGGTTTATTTTTGTATTGCTCCTGCCTCATCTACCCTCTCCTATCCAGTGACTTGCATGTTGGTGTTTATGACAGACTCAGAGGAAGAAAATGAGACCCCGAGATCATGACCTGAGCCAGAGGCAGAGGCTTAACCCATGAGCCACCCAGGCGCCCCTTAATTTTTTAATTAATTATTTTTATTAACATATAATGTATTATTTGCCCCAGGGATACAGGTCTGAATCATCAGGCTTACACACTTCACAGCACTCATCGTATCACATACCCTCCCCAATGTCCATAACCCATCCACCCTCTTCATACTCCCCCTCCCCCTCCCTCCGGCAGCCCTTCATTTGTTTTGTGAGATTAAGAGTCTCTTACGGTTTGTCTCCCTCCCAATCCCATCTTGTTTGATTTTTTCCTTCCCTACCCCCCCAAACCCCCACACTGCCTCTCAACTTCTTCATATCAGAGAGATCATCTGATAATTGTCTTTCTCTGATTGACTTATTTCACTTAGCATAATATCCTCTAGTTCCATCCACGTTGTTGCAAATGGCAAGATTTCATTTCTTTTGATGGCTGCATAGTATTCCATTATATATATATACACCATATCTTCTTAATTCATTCATCTGTCAATGGACATCTAGGTTCCTTCCATAGTTTGGCTATTATGGACGTTGCTGCTATAAATACACTGGGGTACATGTGCCCCTTTGGATCACTACATTTGTATCTTTAGGGTAAATACCTAGTAATGTGATTGCTAGGTCGTAGGGTAGCTTAGTTTCAACTTTCTGAGGAACCTCCGTGCTTTTTTCCACAGTGGCTGCACCAGCTTGCATTCCCATCAGCAGTGAAGGAGGGTTCCCCTTTGTCTGCATCCTTGCCAATATCTGTCATTTCCTGACTTCTAAATTTTAGCCATTCTGACTGGTGTTGTCCTAGGGATTTTAAGGTTTTCATTAAATTTTTATGTCTTCAAAAGATACAAGAAGGTTGGTATGTAGAATCAAATCCTGTTAGAACTGGAAGGACATGTTAAGTGGAAGAATATTAGTCTTTGAGATATTGGGAGTCCAATAAATTTATTATGTTTGAATCTCTACTAAGGCACATATTTTCTTGGTGTTTTAATTAGAAACGAGGTGGTTTTGACTTGGAATTTATTGAATTGTTGTGAAACCTTTTGGACATCCACTTTCTCATAACATGGGAAGGGGGTTCCTGGGTGGCTCAGTAGGTTAAGAATCTGCCTTAGGCTCAGGTAATGATCTGGTGGTCCTGGGATTGAGTCCCACTTTGGGTTCCCTGTATAGCGGGCAGCCTGCTTCTCCCTCTGCCTGTTTCCTCTGCTTGTGCACAAGCACGCTGTTTCTCTCAAATAAATAAATAAAATCTTAAAATGGGAAGGGGCTGTAGATTGATGTTTCCCACTGACCTAGGATTATGTGGGCTGATCAGGTTTTTCTTTTGAATGTTAAGGACTTAACAACAGAATCCTATCTTTTCATGCTATCTGTACTCTTATTTTCCACTAGAAAGGAGGTAGTTTCCTGAGTGAGAGCCTTGGTTCTCCTGTTGGGTATTGTAGTCTTGCACCTGAGAGTGGCTCAACAAGTATTTGTTGAATGGATGAAATTAGTATTAAAAATAGGAAGTTTAAGGTGAAGATGTATTCTTAGAATAAAGCATATACCTTAACTTTAAATAGATTTAGCTCTATGAAAAATTACTTTACATTTTCCTTTTTTCATTTGCCGTTGTTTATGGACCCACATTGGAAATTAGTGGAGTGTATGATCTCTGTCATCTTTTCCAGTTCTAGAATTCTGATTCTCTTCTTTTAGCAGAAATACTTTTTGACTGAGCAGTTTGTAATTAGCAAGAATCTTCTACAATGAAATGTGAACAGAAAGTTTCGAGTGAGTTATTTAAACTACTTAGCTGTTTCTTATTTTTTAAAATAATCTATTAGATGGAAGCTAAATTAAAAGGCCATTTGAACTTTTTAAAGATTTTATTTATTAGAGCGCAATAGAGTGAGCTGGAGCAGTGGGGGAGGTG